AAAGGGCTGGAGGGTGTGAGCTGCACCCCCCTTCAGCTTCAGCTTTTCTCCCCCTTGTTAATATTTCACTTGATCACCTCTGTTTGTAACAGGAGGTTCAAATCAGAGGAAGCAATGTTAAGATATTTATTTACCTGTGCATTTGATATCCTGGGATATTAGGGGGCACGGTATGCAGCGCCCCCCCCCCCCCCCCTCTCTATCACACACTAGGGGCCCGGTTAACCTCGCCATTCATTCACTGGTTTGCCCCTGGAGGCCACTTTCTCTATGGATTAAAACGGATTCATCAAAACGCAAGGGGTTCTCGTGATAGCCTCGGGTTATTAACAAGGCACGCCTTAATCGGTTCAATTTAATAACACAAAAAAAGACAACACTGACCGATCTCACGCGCTCTGCCCTCTAGTGGCCAGACACGGAGCAGCACGGTGCTTGAACAAGTGCTACTCGTCGGAGTGTGTTTGAACAGCTCAACGGGGTGAAGATGAGTAATCACCATCCCTGAGGCCTCCCTCGGACAGCAGCTCTTGCAGAACGATTCTTTCAGAGCAGGAAAGTCTCCAGCGGCGTTATACTACAAGTGTAGCTTACACAGTGTATTTATCGGAAGCACTGCATTGGGATAAAACCAAAGCCCCTCATCTGATTCTGAAAGCATAGCTCATGAAAGCGACGCTCGTCATCTGCCAACTTCCACTTGCAAATGAGCTCAGTTTAGACTTTAAATGAGTCCAATATAGTCCACTTTTGTCTTGCGGAGCTATATTTTCTTCAGAGACTTCCAAAACACAAACTATTATTGTTCAAACACCTTATCGATTGAAGACATAAAGCGTTTACAACCTTTATATATAGCACAAGTTCCACGTGTGCTTTTTTTGGGAGGGGGGGGGGGTCTCGGCTGCTGCTGCTAAGAAAAGCTCCGACAGCGACGCAGACTTTATCAGGCCTCCCCACATTTGCACTTTCCTCAGTATCATCTCAGGTGTTTAATAAGTGTCGCTGTCGTACAAAAGCAGCCCATCACCGATTCCTGTCCTCCTGACTGTCGGTGATAAACCCAGCCGTCCTCCTGGAGGGCCACGCTGTCTGCTTCAGCGACGGCCCGGGGTCGATCAGCGGTGCGATGACTGGAGCTGCGATCTGCTCCCGGTACCGTTGCGCTCTGCCTGTCTGGGTTTGGCCGGAATGGACCGGAAGGGATTTTAAACGTTGACAATCAAATAAACAGGGAATTATCAGGAATCTAAGAAGTCGATTAACATATATAGCTACAGTATAGCTATAGTATTAAACTGTTCCATTTTACGCTTTCTTTGTATAAAGAAGTCAGATTCAGTAGCGCTGAACTCACATTAGCGACAGTAAGCTAACACTTACTTTGAAGCTGTGACTGTAACGTAAGACGTCTCAAGGCGTTCTTGTTTGGACAAAACGGAAAGATTGTTTCAGAAATATGAGTAACTATTGACATACAACTGTTTTTCCTATTAGAAAATATTGGGAGCTGGAAGTCAGACGTTCCCTGTGAGCTCGAGGCAAAGATGAAAGTAATTGGAAGAAATGTTGCCGTATTGATTGCATCCTTCTAACGCATTACAACATTCCGGGCTGAACCAGTTCATAGAGTATGTTTGTTTCATCATTGCTAACTGAGAGGAAACAGGATCATTTGCTTTGTTATTCATGAACAGGTTTTACTGTTTATTGCCTGAGGTTGTTTCTGTTTGTTTTAACCAAACCGCTCATTTGACCTATAATCACTGTTGACCCCGAGGATGGAATTGCCTCTGTTCATTAAAGAAAAGCTGATTCTACACAACCCAGATCAACATTGAAAACACCTCTGTCTTTTTTACGCTGTGTGGGGTTTGAGCACGATTCCCCGAATTCCATTAGAGACACGATGAAAGTAAACTGGAAAAGAAAGGTAATTCTACAGTATGCCTTGTGTGATTTAAGGCACAGCCAATACAATAGTATTGATCAATTAAGTTTTTATATTCTAGTTTCGGTACATAATCACAACAATTTATTTTGCAGGGCTGACTTAATTTATTAGGTATACATATAAAGTAATAAAAAATGGGTGCTTCTACACTAAATCAAGTCGGGTGCTTTCTGCTCGGTAGTACTTTGGAATTTAGAAGTTTCTCTGTAACCATTAGCTCTACTTTAAATTTAAATTACATTTGCATGTTACAGTACTGTTGGTCAAAGACCTGAGCTTTGCTTTTAGGTGGATTTTTTTTCTTGGGGAGGTTATTCTGCTGTTCTCGGTGTCTTGTCCACTGGCTCCCTCTAGTGGTCAATGTGGTGCATAGTCACCTGAGTCCACTAATCCCCACGAGTACCTCCTGTAAGGCGCAGCACACCTCTGAGCTCATTGTCTAGTAGTCTATCACTACATCACACATCTGCCTTCACTTCTGCCATCACGTCTACACAGAGATACTCTACATTTAATAACATGCACAATTGGATAAATAATAAGAAATGCACTGTGTTGACAGTATGCTTGGAAGCTGATGAAAAGCCATTTTTGTCCTATTTGGTCTCAGAATGAAGAAGAAATAATGACCTTGGTGAAAGGCATTACCTAATGCATGTTTTTTCAGTGGGATTGTCCATCGATATTGTTCTCAGTCCAAAGTGGACCGGCCTGTATAACCGGTTTAGTCGATGCATTATCGGATCATTTTACAGCATTTTTTTGTAACATGAGTCTTCCCTGCCCGACGAAGGAAGCACAATCTCAGCCTGCATTTTCGATCACTTTTCTTCAAGGGATAAAGCGAACACACGCCCGCGTTGGCCGGACCAACAAGACCTCTAAATGAATGTTTAATGAGCATTCGAGGAGTCATAATGGCATGTCGCTAATGTCCTGTAATGATCTTCCTGTTGTTGGCCACGCCTCGATGCTTTCTCTTCAACTACGCCTCCGACAGTTGTGTGACAACGGTTTGAACTTTGCTGAATTCAGACTCCTTCACTTCCCCAGCCGAAGGACTGCAAGTATCCCAGTCAGCGCTTTGGCTTCGCTGTGCAGGAAATCATGACTTTCCCTTTGAGAAAGGCTGTTTCAGGTATGCTGCTGTTCTGGTTAATCTCTTTTTTTCTTTTTTCTTTTACTTTAAATTAGTTTTAAGTGTTACCTAGAAAATGCTCAAAGTGGTTCAAAGTCAAATTTGTAGTTGTTTTTCTAGTGATGTGATTGGGGTTAAGTATGTTGTTCTATGGATTCAGTAAGTGGTGATTTTCTTGGGGCTGTTCAGTAGTTGGAGGTTTTAGAGCTGTCCGTGGTGCTGAAATGGAGGTGGCTTTATTTCTGCTTTGCTCTGACGCCGCTCGGTTGTGTTTTGTTTATTCGCGACAAGTGCATGAGCTTAACATTTATATCTGTATAGATTGGAAGAGTTCTTTCCTGCATTTACGTTTCATTTTTGCGAGATTCCTGTCAAAACGAGGCCTATGAAATCCACGCAAAGTGCGTTATCTCGAGGCGTGCGACTGCCGTTTATTATTGATCAGAAGAAACGAATAAAACGTCCAACGACAGTTTAGGATTGAAGACTGTAGATGGCACCATTGGTTAGGCGTTGAGGGAGGCGTGCGGCACCCAGGGGTGGGTATGACACGGACACCAAGGTCGGGACATCACTTTTTCCTGAGGAGTTTAAAACAGCACTAAAAGACCACTAACTTTAAAGTTGCCATTTCAGTTCTTAAATGTATTATTTTCAGTAGCGTCCCATTACAAATGCAGACTCTATAAAAATGAGAATGATTCATTCCAGATGATCCACTTGCTGGTTCTACTTGAGTCACCTGGTTGTGGCTTCCTGCTGTTTCGTCACTCGCGTGCAAATGACTCATTTTAATACATATTTAAATCATATCTTAGGGCTGGATGTTCGTGTTGTACTCTATACCGCGATTAGCGTCCACTCTTGGGTGATAGAATAGATATTTCTAATTTGAGAAGAGAGAGAATCGAGTCTCTCTCTCTCTCTCTCTCTCTCTCTCTCTCTCTCTCTACACCCCCACCCTTCTCTTCTCCCTTCCCACGCCATCCACGCCCCTTTATGCGCCAAGAATTGTCCCATACGACGGCCGGCACGGAGCGCTTCTCATCTGTGCACACTGACTGGGCTCGTGGCTCCACTAGTTAAGACAGACTCCGTGCGCGCTCCCTCCTCCTCCCCGCTGCGCATCGGCGGGATGCTCGGAGCGGCACAGCGGAGTCCGAGCTTTGCGCTGTGCGCGGATACGGCACCCAGCGGCGATGCGCCTGCTTGCTTTCGTTTGACGTTGACCCGCTTCAACAAAAGAGAGACAAACTAGATGAAAACAAACGGAACCTCTGCGGTGATTAGTTCCAATCCTCTGCGTTGCCTTTCTGAAACTCGGCGTCAAGTCTCCGTGACAGCAGAGAGAAACAGAGCCCTGCAAACAGGTGTTTCCATCCGCTCGGAGGTTTCCACGCACGACTCCGTGCCCGTCCGGTTCACCACGTGCGCGTCCGTGTGGTTGAGACGGGATGGTGGAAAAACCGCAGACGGAGTTTTCCTTCGTGATGCACATTAAATGACAGCTGGAGGAACATGCAGTGCGCCGTGGTGAAAGTATTTGTGCAGCGTCACGGTGGAGCGAGTGGGTTTTATTTGGAGATACCACGGACAGTTCCGGAATAACGGCCAAATTCGCGAAAAAATAAGCATAAAAACAAAGATCAATTCGGACGTTGTCTAAGTGCCTTTTGCGCACCACTGGGACTATTTGACCGTCTCAACTTTTTTATATTTGACAAATACCTCACACTGTTAGCACCGCGTCTGGACGCTCCTGCTGAACTTGTTCCCAGCGCGCAGCCAAGCTGGCCATGGCTGCAGCGATCGCCAGCTCCCTCATACGGCAGAAAAGACAGGCGAGGGAGCGGGAGAAGACGAATGCCTGCCGCTGCGTTAGCAGCCCCAGTAAAGCCAAGGGGAGCTGTGAAAAACCCAATCGACTGAACGTCTTCTCCCGGGTCAAACTCTTTGGCTCCAAGAAGAGGCGAAGGAGGCGACCAGGTCTGTTGTGCGCTTTCGCTCGGGATCAATGCGTCTTCATCTGTTGTTGTGCCGTTATATTAAAAAAAAAAGAAAGGAACCGCAACGTGAATTTACCAAATCCATTTCTATATGCGGGTTTCTAACAGATGTTTCTCTGTGCCAGGGGTTGGTGGGAGAATCCTTTATAGGACGTCTGGCCAGAAGTCACCTTTGGCATCTCAACCTGCTTCACACTTGAGCTGAGAACTTATTCAGGCCCCACTGGATGAAATACAGAGTCACTTTTCTAAAAGCCGTGAAGACTGAAGACCCCGTCGCTTACGGGTCATTGTTCATATTGCAAATTGCACAGGATAATAAATTCATCATAGTAATTAACCCAATGTGTAATCAACCTCCAAAATTGATTCTTTTTCCTCCACGGCAGCCTTGACTCGTTAAACATGCAGAGACACACATTTCCTATGAGTTTTAAAGAATTCCCAACTTTGAACATTTATTTTGAATCTTCAGCAGACCTCACACTCACCTCAAAAGTTATTTCCCCCCTTATAGTGTTGGTTCTATAGCAATAAGAGTTTATAAGTATTATGTGAGCCAAGGTCCTCTTTGAGAACTCTCTATGCAGTGTTTGTTTTTGTAGCCTAAAGCACCCACTGCCTGATGGATCCCATGCAAAAGGGAGCAGATCGTCTTACTTGCACCCAACGATCACACTGTCACCTTCTTTGTGTGTGTGTGTGTGTGTGTGTGGAAATGACGGCGACGAAGAGGCGAAGAACTTTATTCAATCCTAATTTCCAACTGTGATTTTGAAGCAACTTAACTATTCCCAAGCTTTTGCACCCCTCTCACTTCCAATTTCCAATCCTCTCCTGTGGAGAAAGCAGTGTGTAGCGAGAAGAAGGTGTTGTCTGTGTACATTTTGGCAAATAGTCCGGTAATGCAATGTGCACGTCGTTGTGTGCTTTCTACACATGCTCTCATATACATTTCTCAGTGTGCAGCCACGGTGTTTCACTGAAAAATACAACGTTCCACAACAAATTGTAACGTGTCCGGTGTAACTCACCTTCTCCAAAGTAACAGTAGTCTGGCAAGAAACGATGTTATTGTGAGATGAAAGAATACAGCAGATGAAAGGGGAGGTGGACCACGGTGAAGCCCACTCCACCCGGGACACTAACCAGGGAATGGAGAGCACTTAGCGCTTATCAGACTTCACTTCAAAACTAAGTGATCCGCCACCACAAGCTATCGTCTTTGAGACCAACTGTGGGACGGTTCCCATGTTGCTGCCATTGTTCCGTCTTGTCCTTGTTTCTGTATCCACTGCAATAACAGATATTAAAAGAAACAATGCGGCTCATTCTTTACAGCCGATTTTTAAATGTGGAATAATTTGCCTTCGTCCATCCGTGGTCTTCTTCGTTATTCGGTGCTTTCCAAACGGGCTGCCTCGTTAGTCACCTCCGCTTCCTCTGAGACGGTTTTCACAGACCGTAGACACAGCAGCTTGAATTAAACTGTGGCCCTTTTTCCCTTTGCCAATTAAATACTATTATCAACCGATGGGTCAATCTAACTGCTCACTAAAGCTTACATTTCCTATAATTGTCTCACTGCATCAGAGGCTTGCTATGTCCCTGTACGATAAAAAGTAAAGTGGCCCGTACAAAGTGGCTGCAGGATCAGTGGGACTCTGCCTGTGTGTTACCTGCTAACCAACAGCCTTCATCAGTGCTGTTGTTTTATAAACGGACGGCGACCATGACCGAATGTGAAAGAATCCTGGACTGCTATTCAAATCCGACCCTTTCTTGGAAAATAGTTCCACATTTTTAAGGGACTCTGTTGTTTGTCATGTTTCCTGGTGGTGATCACGATTGTATCATCCCATCGACGTCAGCTCCTCAGCTTCACTCAACCTAACTACTGACTGAACTTTCAAAATGGCGGCAAGCCGTGACCCTAAACAGACGTTTTTTTAAAAGTGCTGAATTCATGTTTTCCCACAGTGTTTCATGCTCGTGTCTTCCCGTCTCCGTGTCCCCTCTGCTTCCACAGAGCCCCAGCTAAAGGGGATCGTGACCAAGCTGTACAGTCGACAAGGTTTCCACCTGCAGCTGCAGGCGGATGGAACCATTGATGGAACGAAGGAGGAGGACAATGGTTACAGTAAGTTTCACGCTGAAAATGTGTCCCGCCCCCGCCCCCCGATTTCCATCCTGCATCCGTTATGTTGTTGATAGGACGAATTAGCCTTGTGCCATTTGGCAAGGAATCAACATCATGGTCCCCTGAACCATGAATTCATACTATTTGAATGAGATTTAGAGAGTCGGAGCAGCTGTGCTCTTCTTACAATTACAAATGTTCAATACTTCATCTGAATTGCGTCAAAGTCTTTTGCCGCCGTTAAACTGCTGATGATCTTTTTACTCTCCTACACTCTGCCTCTGATGTGTTAGCCAGCGATGTCTTATACGTTGATGCATCCACCGGCTTTGCAATGGACAAATTAGGAAGGAGGAGATCAATGGACGGGTAACAGGACTGGTAACAACACTGCAGAAATAGACCTCCTTATCATCATGAAGTAGTTGAGTGAAGACGTCATGCTTTTGAAGATAAGAAAAGAACAGCAGTTAGTGACCCGATGTGAAATCCCGTTGCCCCCCCCTTACCAAGAGAAAAATGCCCCCCCGAAACACCTTTGATGTAATGCTTGCTGTGTAATCCTGACACTAAGTGGATGTAAACACTTCTGGAGCCTATGAATTAGTGCCTGAATATCAAATCACTCCCCCGGGGGAGATGGCGTGTGCATCCTATACTCTACATATGAGTAGCAGCTCTGCGTAAGTGGGCCGTTGCGTAAGAAGAACAATAGCTCGGTATTTGTGTGGAATTTGTTTCACCAAATAAATTTAAAGGAACACGCAGTAGAAACGATACCAAGTGAACGTAACACGCACGCACGCACGCACACAAGACTTTCCTTCACCTCACACACCGACCGCCCCACCCATCATGTGTGCAGGGGCTCACTTTGCTGCTGACCCACATACCAACTGTCCCGCTTTGGCAAGAAAATTAAAGCGCGCTGTTGAACTGCTAAAGGAGAAAGAGTGAAGCTCTTTGCACCGCTCCAAAAATAGCGCTGTTAGGCGCTGGGTGCGCTTGTCTCCATGGTGACGGAGAGCGCAGTCCTCCTGGAGCTACTGGCGTCTTGTGATGGTGGAAGAGGACCTGTTCTCAAATACGCTCACACTCACACACTCACACACACACACACACACACACACACACGAGAAAGGATTTGATTTGTGCCACAGGAGCGTGCGGAGAAGCCTTTGCCGTTTGGTAGTAAAGAAGTTTCCAAAGTTTCACGTCTCATGAATCCAAGTGGTGTCTCACGTTGGTTCTTGTGTTGCATCGCAACTGAGCAAAATACTAGAAAAAATCTTACTGTCAGCAAACTAAATTATTTTTCCTCGAAAGAGGCTTCTGTTCAACCTTCAAAACTTCAAAACGTTCTCAGTCTTCTCCAAGATATTTTATTGCTTTAATCCATCCATCCATCCATCTTCAACCGCTTATCCGGGGTCGGGTCGCGGGGGCAACAGCTCCAGCAGGGGACCCCAAACTTCCCTTTCCCGGGCCACATCTACCAGCTCTGACTGGGGGATCCCAAGGCGTTCCCAGGCCAGTGCAGAGATATAATCTCTCCACCTAGTCCTGGGTCTTCCCCGGGGCCTCTTCCCAGCTGGCCGTGCCTGAAACACCTCCCTAGGGAGGCGCCCAGGGGGCATCCTCACCAGATGCCCAAACCACCTCAACTGGCTCCTTTCGACGCAAAGGAGCAGCGGCTCTACTCCGAGCTCCTCGCAAATGGCTGAGCTTCTCACCCTATCCCTAAGGGAGACGCCAGCCACTCTCCTGAGGAAACCCATTTCGGCCGCTTGTACCCGTGACCTAGTTCTTTCGGTCATGACCCATCCTTCATGACCATAGGTGAGGGTAGGAACGAAGATTGACCGGTAGATCGAGAGCTTTGCCTTCCGGCTCAGCTCTCTTTTCGTCACAACGGTGCGGTAAAGCGAGTGCAATACCGCCCCCGCTGCTCCGATTCTCCGGCCAAACTCACACTCCATCTTCCTCTCACTCGTGAACAAGACCCCGAGGTACTTGAACTCCTTCACTTGGGGTAAGGACACATTCCCTACCTGGAGTAGGCAATCCATCGGTTTCCTGCTGAGAACCATGGCCTCAGATTTAGAGGTGCTAATCCTCATCCCGCCCGCTTCACACTCGACTGCGAAACGCTCCAGTGAGAGTTGGAGGTCACAGACGTAAGATGCCATCAGGACCACATCATCTGCAAAAAGCAGCGATGAGATCCGCAGCCCCCCGAACTGTAGACCCTCCTCCCCCCGACTACGCCTCGATATCCTGTCCATGAAGACCACAAACAAGATTGGTGACAAGGCGCAGCCCTGGCGAAGGCCAACCCCCACCGGAAACGCCTCCCACGCGTCCTTTTTTTATTTGTAGCGGTTGGTTTAATCACTTAAACCTGACGGGTAGAAGTACTTGCTTTAAATACTTTGTAAATAGAACTTACCAACTAAGTAATGTGCAACTCATGCCACTTTTGACTTTTGCTGAACATGTTAATTCGGCTTTATTCTTAAACGAGGTGCTGGAAGTATTAGAAAGAGCAGCACACTTAAATCTGTGCAGTTTAGTTTTAGTTTTCGATCTAAAGGACCCTCATCGGCGCATACACATCTTCCTGAAAATACCATAGTCAATCATAATAAAAAGTAAAAAGTAAAAATAGTGCCATCCATTATGCAACAGCACTACACTCACACAGAGGCTTTTCTGTCTAAGAATAGTCATTATTCACATAATTAGCCTGACATTTAAGTAACGCAATTCACCCCAGCCGATTAGCATCTGTATAATGAACAGTAATCAGGTGACACAGGTTCTGTTGAATGTGGTCACAACAAATTATAAACACACGTCGGCAGCTCTAATCGCCGGCAGGTTCCTCCCATTGCGGATAACCGAGAGCGTGACTGATTAAAACGGGACTATCGTCCCTCCGATCGGTCATGACTTCTAAGCACACCGACATGAGAAACATCCCTCATCTCATTCTGTGTGTCTTTCTGCACACAAAGGTCTGTGAGTGGGTGGCATCCTCTTCAGTGGGCTTAGGTGTCTAGGAGGGGAGGACGTCATCGAGTTTCCCCTCTTGAAAACCTCCACCAGCACGCCGGCTGGTCATCCTTCGGAAATGAGGCAGAATGCAGATGCAGCCTGTGGGTGCCGAAGCAAGGATGGATCCGTCTGAACGGCGGCGGTGGAGAAAGTTTGCCATTCGAAACTTGTGCACATTCCTGCCAAGTTAAAAGCCTACGCACTGCAGCGAGAATGCTCCAAAAAGTAGAAAGAGTTGGAAGGACATTAGAAAAAACGAAAGCAAACTACCAGAAGTGTTGAATTTCAGTCCTTCCAATCTTGTGTATGAATGTTGCTGCGAAGTAGTTCTGTAGCTTTGTTCGTGTACTAATTATAGTTTAAGTTGAGAGAGAATGATCGCTGCCTTTGGTCGACAGTCAGTAAAGACACAGATTTATCATTGGATTGTTAGCTCAATAAACAGAGTACTGCACATTAAAACTGCAGGTATTGAGGATGTTCACTACAGGTCCCATCTGTTTGAGGGAATACATTTTACTGGCAGCATCAGCTGCACAGAGCTGTCAAAGCGGGCAACACCCAAAGAAAGTAGATAGATACCCAGCCATCTTTTTATTGATTCACCAATATAGGATATAAAAAGGGATCAATTTAAATGTGAGTTAGTTTAAAAAGGTAACTCAACTGTATCGTACCTGAGAATATAATTGAGGATATATAATATATGTAAGGATCAGTCATATTTAGGGCAAGAGTTCTGATTACATAATCATTACATGAAAAACACGCAGTCGAGTGTGATATAACAGGCCAGACTAAAAGCATCATGCTGTATGTAGAGAGTACGCGGGGAATATTACATTTGCCGAAACAAGTTACAAAGACAGAGGTGGAGAAGCGGAGAGAAAGAGAAGGCTGACAAGCACGGGGCCGCAACTTCGACGCCTTAGCGATACTCGCGGATCGCGTGGATCGCTATCAGTGGTCTACTGAGTGGAGGACGGAAAAAAAAAGATGAAAAAAACTAAATCCGACAGCAAGAGCGATGGCATAACCGATAAGGTGGGATGGAAGCACAGCTGGGGACTTTCTGGAGGATGGTCATGTGCTTTCCTCCCCTGAGCACGTGGGCCCCCTGCCAGCAGAAACACTTGTACCCTGTTCAGGTTGACATTAATTAGGTAGAAGAGTTCCTCGTTGACCAGCTGGGCTGCCGCTCGCGGACAGGTCTATACACAGTGTGTAGTGTACTGTCTACTGCACGTGTGTGAGCGACGAAGCCGATGTGCAGGGGTGTGTAAGTGTTTTCTCTGTCTATTTTGTCTCATCATGCTGAATTGCAACGGGCCCGTAGCCGAGAGCAGCATTTTCAGATGACAGCTGTCAACCTCGTAGCAGAGACTTCGTATTCGTTTGTTTCCGTCTCAAGGAACAAATTTCTATCCAAAATCTGGATTTGAACATTTGTCCACTTTTTGGCCTGTGGTGATAATACGTTTCAGTCTGGGTCTCACTGAATAACTGTACAAAGGTATTTGATACCCCAAGTATATATTTTTGTGTTTATTATATTATATATTTATGTTTTTCCAAAGAATTGTTATATGTGTTTTAATCAAGATTTTTTGTTGCTGTTGTCTGTCTCTCTACAGCCGTGTTCAACCTTATTCCAGTGGGGCTGCGAGTGGTGGCCATCCAGGGGGTGCAAACCAAACTCTACCTGGCTATGAACAGTGACGGCTACCTGTACACATCGGTAAGGCTCTCCGTGTGTGTGTGTGTGTGTGTGTGTGTGTGTGTGTGTGTTTGTGTGCATAAAGCATTGGGGTCTTACTGGTTGACCTCGGAGTCTAGCTGAGCGATTGCTGTCTCTGGCAGACATTGCGTTACCATGGTGACATGGGAAATTGAAAGAAACACAACCAACAGGAGAAGATAGATACTTTAAAGGTACGGCAGGGTTTCGGCTTGAAGTGTGTTTATATTTTCGCTACACCTTTTTTGGGGGGAATTCCGTATTCGGCGAAAAAGAAACTCATTCACACTTTCGTATGACTCTGTATGACCCAGGTTCCAGTTCCCAGTTAGTCTTCTTCCCAGATGCCACCATCACTTTGTGTGGCAGGTGTCTGTATGCGGGCCGACCGGCTGGTTGGATGTGCGCCCAGCGGGCGGGCAGACACACACATTCACTGTTAACAAACAATCCTCAACATCAAATTGGCGGCGATTGTCTTGTATGGCGAAGGTCTGAGCAGGCAGGCACGAGGGGGATTGAGGAAAACAAGCTGAGAAGTAGCAAAAAAACCTAATGATCTCGGAGCTTTTTTGTTTTGCAGCTGCTGCTGACAAATTATCCACTAAATGGATAGAAGGTAATGTGATGGAGGAAGGACAACAGGCCTTCTGGCTCCTCTCTCTCTCACTCTCTCTTTCCCATCCAGATGTCAGTCTTGTGTCTCAAAGTCACTGCAGCCTTCTGCGGATGTTGTATGAAATGCCATCATTACATTTTAATGAGTGCTGGCAGTTGTTTGTCAATGTATCCAATGAAGTTCCCCCGGCTTCCCTGAGAGGAAGAGGAAGAATCATTTCCAATTATAATGTATTTCCCTTTTGTTGTTGTGGAGAATATTTACTCATACAGTGATTCAGTGCGGCTTCACCAGGTCTTCTGATCTGAGGCACATCTGGATTCCTCTATATCACTAGATGGTCTCTGATTGGATTTGGCTTATGTTATAATACGCTCCAGGCTTAAAGCTTAAGGACTACTTAAGCTCTGGCTTTTATACTTTTGAACCAATTTCACCTTCTTATACTGTCTCTTATTTTATGTATAATTTTCAATATATACAGTATGTATTTGTTTTTATTGTATTTTCTGAGATACATGTGTGCATCACATGGTGACGAGCATAAAGGACACTCTTAAAAATAAAAATAAAACCGTTTGCGGCTTACAGTGTTTCATCTTTGGTGCTTTAAATACCAGGTCTCACATGAAATACAGTGCATCCTGCAGTGTTTTAAGCAGGAGGAAGAAGCTGTTGGTGGATGGGCTGCGGAGCTTTCTGTCTCAGCTAAATTAGAGAAAGAATTCAATATAATGTGAAGCTGGCTGCCAGGATTGCTGCTTTAAAGCGCTGCCTAGACGCCACACATTAAGCCAGCGAATAGCAGGTCCGCTAGGGAGGAGGTGAGGGGGAAGGTTAGGGAGGGAGGGGGGAGATTCCCAATCAACCGTGCTGCTGCTGCTGCTGTGATCCGGATGCCTCCCGTTATTCTACTTGTGTGAATGAGAGCGTGAGCGTGATAAACCAGATTCACATAAGACGGGGAGGGAGAGAGAGAGAGAGAGAGAGAGAGAGAGAGAGAGAGAGAGAGAGAGACAAAGAGTCCTTTATGTGTAGGTGAGGCAAAGTACGCCGGTGAAAATGTCTTCATCCATCGGCGTCGACGTGGAGAAAGAAATGATTGTTTCTGTATTTCATTCTCCATTCCCCTCTTGTGAAAATAGCAGAGCTTCTAATATTTCATCTAACTTGTCTTTAGCAAAGTGGTGAATTTTTGCAGAGAGTCTGAATAAAAAGAGCCGTTGAGCTTTCTCTATGTGTAGATGTGTGGTTGCGTTTTCAGATCCGGAGCTAAGCGGTGTTTGAAGTGGTGTTATTAATTTCCTGGCGGGTCGCATTTGAATTAGTGTGAGTCACTGAGGCCACGGTTGTGTCTCGCCTGCACTGCTGAGTGTGAGTGTGAGTGTGTGTGAGATGAAGAGCTCAGGGCTCTTGGGCTGGAGATATTTATCAAGTTGGCATTAAGACTTGCAGGCGTTTCGACCCAAATCGACCGGGCCTGTTAAATCCCTTCATCAAGACTCATTCACAAATGCCCTGTGAATATGAGTTCTGCGCCTGCTAAAGATCTAAAATAAAAAGTAATGTCACCCAAATGATGCAGAGGAGACAACAAAAGAATGATGGTGATGAAGAGGAGGAGGAGGAGGTTGCTATATGGATGTGAACCAATAATTCTATCTACATTTAGAGGCCAAGATAGTGTAAGAGAAAACTTCATATTTTACTCATATTGAACATGTGTAGGATAAAAATAGACACTCCGTTGTGCTTGTACATTCTGTATTTAAGTACGCCCTTGTTGTATGTGGAGTTGGCTCACATCCAGGCCTTTCCATTCTTTTCAGCAGGCACAATGCGTTTGGTAAATAACCGCTGGTGTAAAGTTCCACTCCATTGAGCCGTGTCATTACCTAGTTTGCGTTGTGTGTTTGTGTGTGTGTGTGTGTGTGTGTGTGCGTGCGCGCCACGGCTTTAACTACAGGAGTGTCCGGGTGTGTCTATTTGTTTTTGGTATTCGGAGTATTTCACCAGGTTAAAGCTCTCCAAATTACTCCCAAACAAATTAACACAACGAGTGTGGTTTTCATCTGCAACTAAAGAGAAAAGGCGTCTTTTAATCCACTTCCACTCTACTGAAAAAACGGCCACATTAAAAAGCCGGATTTGGAAAGATTTGCCGTACAATAAGCCTTTGTGGGCACTAGCGTGTCTGCGAAGAAACTACACAACAGCACACAGCCTTTATTCCGTTGACACAACTGGTGTCGTCTAAGTGTTGATATGGCAGCTGAATACACGCGGGGCGGTGTGCAGCATTGATTTGCTGTTTTGTAAAAAGTTCTTCACAGAGAGATCAGATGCATAATGCTGGTATTTGCTGGGGAAACACCATTGGGACGACAACTGGAGTTCTGTTTGAGCTCCATAATCAGTCGTGTTTTCTTAACATGACTGGTTGGCGGTTCCCATCACGGCTGCTCATTTGTGAAATCGTTAGTCGGTAGTTGATGGAGCAGGTGAGAGCAGAGACGGTGGAGCAGAAAGGACGGAAGGATTCATGAGGAAAACCGTCTGCACTTTTAACTGTAAGTGCCTGTAGTTGTCAGGTCGATGCCATATTGAGTTACAGCATTACTCGTTTAATATCTGTGTAAGGCAGCAGACACACAACTATGACCATGAAATATGAAAGGAGGTGGAACTAAATCTCACAGCTGGACCTTTGTTAGGTTTGAAAGAAATGAAGCTGGTATAGAACATGCACATTTCAATCCTCTGTGCGGTTTATTTCTGGGGAAATATACATGAACTTACAGCAATGGATCTCTTTGTGTTCCATTATACCAGCTGACTCGTGGAAGAGGCTTGTGTGGAAGCCCAGTGGGTTCTATGTGGAAGGGGAACAGCTCCCGAACTCGCTAAGACGTTGCTTAAGGGAGGTGGCCAGTTGTGCATCATTTAGACAAGGAATTGCATATTTTAAGTAGAAATCCCACGTAGTGTGACGAGATCATTAAAAGTTCACTTAACCGTACCATAGAGACAGGGAGGGGATGAGAGGGGGGCCGAAACCACACGCCCGCTATTATTTCTATGCAGGCAGTGTCCTGCTTTTTATTTCTAGAGTGATTTCCTCCTCGCTCCATCTGGCACCGGAGGTTCTGATTGAAGCGATTTCCCCGTCGGGTTACTTCCAGCGGGACAAAAGCTACGCTTACCGACTGAAGGAGACGCCACTGGAGGCCGCTCAAAGGAATCCCCTCGTTTCTGTCTGTCACAGTCCTGTTTGGAGCAGAAATAGGGATCCCCCTGCCATTGGGCCCCTCCTGGTAGCAGTCTGAGCGAGCCTGTCCACAGTACCACTCCCATGCAGCCAGCTCCTCCATTTTGGCTCTAGATGTGCCCGTATCTATACGCGCCTGTCTGTCAACGGACTCTTATTCTTCTCCAGGGCGAGAGTATCCGGCCCAAACCCACATAAGCTCATTGTTAGAGGTAGAACAGAACTCCTGGCTCGAGAGCTGAGCAGCCCGTTGTTTGACCCGCGCAGATCCGTTGCTGCTCAGCCTCTAACGATGACGTCGAGGTGTCGAGGGAGGAGGTCACCATCGCTACGTTTGCCTACCCGTGCGTAAACCACAGCACACCGCGATCCGATGTTAGAAAGAGCCGCTCTCCATGTTTTAAGACTTTCGCTAACCCTTTAGCGGTTGGAGTTGGAACATCTGCACGGGTAAGAGGCAACCAATCTGCCAATGCAAACAAAGTAATTACACGTTCTAAAGCACTGGGTTTGTAGCTGCAGCTGATTGCAGTTTGGAGAGGAGACCGCTGGGCAAACTGCTGCGTATCGCCCAAGATGTCCTGAATCCCTCCCGATATCTAAACGGAGGAAATATTTCAGTAATTACATTATTCAGTACTACTATTTGGCCCGAGGATTGGCATAAGCTCTTAAATAGGTCCCACATGCATTCATAGAAAAGTAGGTTTCAAGCCACGATGAAGGGAAAAGATGCACCGACAATGCATTTTGAACCCTTTGCTGGAAGTCACTGTTTCAGCGATTACTGGAGTTTGGTCTTGGGTACCAGTAGGACAGTGGTTGGATCGGAGGGAGAACATTTGTTTCTTCAAGTCTATGTTGGGAAACCCAGGAAGAAAGAAAAGAACCCCCCCCCCCCCACCCACACCAGTATAGGACTGATCCTGAGCAGACCTGCTTCGGTCTGAACGACCCTTAGACAGTGTTTTCTAGACTCACTGCCCGATCAGCTCCATAAATTGGACACACACATACTCTCGCAGACCGAAGCGTGCGCACACACACACACGCTCGCAGGCAAAGCCTTCGTCTCGGGGCACATGAACCTCGCTGTTGTAGCGATAATTGACAAATCGTATGTAGTCGCTGGAAACTAAACTAAAGTGGAGGCAGGTCGAGGGACAGCGAAATGTTGTCTCCCTGGTGAGTCCCCAGTTCATTAGTGAAGGATATAAGGTAGGACGTTACATAAAAAGGTCACAAAAACCTCCTTGAATGCACCACCCAAATGCCAAAGCCACTTCCTGAAAAGTATTTCACTGTTTGTTTCAAACGTTATAGCTAATACGTGACACATTAAGTGAAACGGCCGAACTCAACTATAGTGTCCAACAACGTCCTCCACGGGGGAGCAGAGAATACTGCTCATGCAAAATTAATGGTTGGAGCAAAATGAGAATACACGTTTTATTAATGCTCCTCTGTATCCGTCCATCACTGTCATCTATATAGAGCGCTACATTATGCACTGCGGTTAATTGAACGAATGGTTTTAAAAGATTCTCCAGCGATAGAAGCTGTTGAATGGGAGGGCTTGAGCTGTGAGATAACTCCTTCCTTCTTTTTCGAGTTGAAGACACGCGTGTAATGTGCCGTTACTAAGATGCACTCCCGAACGAATGAACTATTCCATTTCAGCTGCTCCTGTTCGCACGAGGATGTCAAACAGCCTGGTGGCCTTGTGAATTACTGTCCAACCTCTACTTTGTACCCCCCCTACCTCCCCACAGGAACACTTTACGCCAGAGTGCAAATTCAAGGAGTCAGTGTTCGAGAACTACTACGTGACATACTCCTCCATGATCTACCGGCAGCAGCAGTCGGGCAGGGGCTGGTACCTCGGTCTGAACAAGGAAGGAGAAATCATGAAGGGGAACCATGTGAAGAAGAACAAGCCAGCAGCCCACTTCCTTCCCAAACCTCTCAAAGGTAAGCCACTGGCTTTTGAGCTGTACTTTGAGGGCAGTAAGGTAAAAAGAGAACCCCACCCATCCAGGCGGTGTGCGTGTATGTGCGTGCGTGTGTGTGTGTGTGTGTGTGTGTGTGTGTGCACACAGTGTGGAGAACAGAGGAGTCAGAAATGTTGAAAGGCAATGGTTTCCTCTCATCTTGAACCAGAGACACATGTGTACTTGTCAACACAGAGAGAGAGAGTCGGTTTTGACTTCAGTCGGATAAAAGAGTACTTTTTTCCCCCTGTTTTCCCTCAGTGAGGAATAAAATGCTTGAAATGCAAAAAGCAGTATGACAAAAATGGATCCATCACAGTTTGTTCTTTTTATACTTTCACTACCTTATTTTTCAGTGTGCACGTTAACATGCTCACTGCCGCAGACAAGTGATTTCTGGCTTCTACAGTAAATGTGTGAAGAAATAATATAGTCATAAAGTGATTCAAACCTTTTGGTTTCATGAAGTATTTCAACGTGTAATTCTCAGGGATCAAGTAATTTGGGAAATTCTAATTCACGTTTTATTTTGGTTACACTGAGACGCATATTGGGGCCGATGCTGCAAACACAGCAGATCCGGAGCACCTCCTGAATTCATAATGCCATCATTTTCTTTTTTTTCTTTTTTTTTACTTCAGCATCAACTTGGACTCCTGTGATGTCTCGATTCAGCAGTTTGCATGTCACTTTATGCAATCACTGGGATTACAGTATTCTAACCAAAGCAGAGAGGACTTTTATCGCCATTTGTGTTCACGGATCACGGCCTTGGTTTCGGTTGTGGCTCGTGTTGAGGAAAAATGTTCCTGTTATAATCAGTTTTAGGGAAAATTGGATAAGTAGGACTATAATCTACATTAATATATCCATGTAGATGAGTTAGAACTCAACAGAGAGAAGGAAGAAGCTGACACGAGGCCCGTAGACAGATAATATGAGATGCCAAGCAGGCAAGGTTGCACAGATATAGAGACAGGAGAGTCGACGTGACACTGAGGATTGCAAAAGGTTTAGGACAAGATAGTGGAGAGGCTGTGGGACAACGGTCTCGTGTGTGTGTGTGTGTGTGTGTGTGTGTGGACGCTAGCAGACAGAACGGGAGGGCCAGCGAGATAGAGTCAGTCAGTCCAGCATCAACATACCAGATAGAAGGGGCAAGTGAAGCACAAGGAGAAGAATAGTGGGACGACAACAACAGGAGGAGAGTTACGTAGCCTCTGTGAGGATGTGCGGGTCCTCGTCTCGAGTCAGTGAGTTAGAGAATAATTGGAAAGTAGTTTAAAAACTATGAATAAATGAATCCACAACACTGGTGTAAGGCGTTGGCAGCGTGTCTGACTCTCGCTCATTCTCGTGTTCCCGCAGTGGCAATGTACAGAGAGCCGTCCCTCCACGACTTGACGGAGTTCTCCCGGTCCGGCAGCGGCACACCCACCAAGAGCCGCAGTGCCTCCGCCCTGCTCAACGGAGGCAAAGCCGTGAGCCAGAACGAGTCGACGTAGCCCAGCGGCCCGAAAGCCGGGCCTGAGGCCGAAAAACCCACCAAACCGTACCTCCAGCAGAGCACGAACACAAGCGGACCCATCTCACCGATCGGCGGCTCAGGACTCGCCGCGACAACAAACCACACACAGATTCGCAGACACCCTCGTTCACGAAACAGTTAGAGACCATCCCAGTTAATCGTCACCAATGGTTAAAAGTTATCATCATAACATTCTGAACACGAAAAAAAACTAAATTTATGACATTTTTGCTTTGGTTTTATCTTTCACCTTGATCACTCTCTCGGTGATGATGGCACACCAGCTAGCTCATCTATATCTTCTTTTCATTTCTCTTCCTTTCCTGTGGACAATGGCGTTTTCTTTGCTCATTTAGACACAAGGCACTCGTGCGTCTGTCAGACAGGGACAGGAAGTCAGACCCGTTGGCATTCAGGGCTGCCAGTAACAGCGCTCGGTTCTACAGGGCTGCAGGGCCGGCATTGGTACGAGGCGCGATCTCTGTCTCATCCACGCTTCTGCGAATAGAAAGCCTATAAACTCGCTGGTGCGGCCCGGCCCGGCGCTGCTGGGCCTGTGGCCAGCCAGACGGTAGCTCTCCTGCGTCCTAGTGCACGCGCCCAGAGACTGAGCTCTCTAGCATGGGGAAATAAAGCCTTGGTTCAGCCGACCTGAAGTATAAGGAACGAGCGTGGCTCTCTTGCAGTTTTTTTTTCTTTTCGTTTTCAGAAATGCCACAGCTGCAACTTTTTCATTTATTTTGCTAATCTAATGAATTAGCCAGAAAGTTTTTATTTGATAACTGGATTTTGTCCCCACCTGTTGTCTTCCCCCAACATTGTTCAGTTCAGTATTTGTATTTTTGTTGCTGTTACATCGTTGAAAGGGGTTCCTCAAACCAAAGACGGAACGAAAGTGTCCCTTTAAGCCGCTGAAAACCAAGCCAGTATAAAGACTGGTATTTTTTTCTTTTCACTGTACATTTTTATGAAGGAAGGCAAAGATTCTGTGTAGAAAAAAAGAAATAATGAATTAGGGAAGTGATTTTAAACACTTTGCAGCTGGCAGCGTGCTTGATGTTGTGCTTTTTGTTGATATGCACGATGGTCGAGGATTGAAACGACTGATCTGTGTTCCCATTCCCTTCTGTTACCACCGTGTCACAACGTCTACGTCTCTTGTCCTTGTGATCCGTTCCCTCCTCCTGTGCTTGCGTCGCACCTCGACTCCCCTGCCATCCTTTTGGTTGACTTCTATTGACTTATACGGTTCGCCATGGGAATATGGTGCAAGGCCCTTTCCGCGATGCTCGTTATGTGTTTCTGTAACTTATTGTGGTGACAATTTTTTCTATATTAAAAAGAAAAAAACAATACTGTGGACTTTTAGGTGGCTTAACATTTTATAGGACATGTCATATTTGTAAAAGTGAAAAAAAAGAAAAGAACATACAAAAATGAACATCTTCCCTTTCTTGCACAGGACATGTACAAACACAAATATGTACAAAAAGGACCCTTTTTATGGGCTTGGTTCTCTTCTCTTCGGCTACATAACTTCTTTCTGGTACACGCTCCTGGGAGGCTTTGTTTTCATAGTTTTCCTCCAGAGGTGGTTTGTATTAGGTGAAACTATCTGTTGCATGGGAGAAAGCAGGGACATTCTGGTATAGAGCTGCATGATGTAGGCTATGTGTATTAACCCATGTTGGATCATGTGTTCCAAACTACCAGGCTGAAGCTGATAAAAACAACATTTACAGGCAGGCATTGTGGCTGCCTGGTAACTTCCAGTTGTTTATTATTTGTTGTATACACAAAAATGCACTGAATAAAATGTTTATATTAAGATATAATTTTAAAATGTGTCGGACTTTCTGCTTTGTCCTTTCAATTGGAGCATTGAAGAAGTATATAGTCTTCGCCATTTCAATTCCAAAACACATGTTGATCTATTAGACACAAAAAGCCCTACAAGGGTGTCCTCGACTTGTTTCCCTAAAGGTTGATCTTGAGAAGAAAAATAACTTTTGGGGTAATGCATGAGATCATATTCCTGACATATGAGCCAGCCTTTTAAGTGAAAGGCACCTCAGGCTGTTTATGATCAAAACAAAATCAAGCCAGTATGAAAAAAAAAATCCCTTTTCATGCGTAACATCAGAACATGTCAGTTCTCCAAGTGCGCACGGTAAGATGTGACACAAGGTAGAAATATTCTGCCGTGTCAGTGGCTGCTGAAACAAAGTGCTAAAGAATGATCTGAATGATGGCGCGGCACAACGTTAACCCGCCACGCTTTGCTAATAAGGTCAGGCCTCTCGTCACTCTCCGGGAGAAGCACTTTCTTTAATGAGGGGTTTTATCCACCATAACCCTGCGCTGAGAGACGCCCACGGAACATCTCAGCGATAATAAGGGTAAAGGGTGTCCGACTGGGACACAGAGAGTGAAGAAATACAAGAAAAAGAAAAAAAACTGCAGTGAACAGGTGAAAAAAGACAGAAAAGTGGAGGTTTTCTGAATTCATTTTCTGGATGGAAAGGTAGCTGATGGGAGATGACAATCCAGAAAATATTTCTTAAATGACACTAAACCCTGCTGATAACAACACAGTGAGTCAGCATAAGAATTCCTTTGTAAATTTGCATCAATGTGAGACGCAAACTAGCGCATGCTAGCACTAACTAGCATGCTTTTAAAAAATGAATGAACAATGGAAGTGGCTTTCGCTGCTTTCTTTTCTAAACTGTCAGGCTCAAAGAGAGAACGTTGTGGGTGACTGGCTTACATCACATCCATACATTATGCATCTTCATATTTTTCACACTCAAACCACTTGTAAAAGACTTGGCCTGATTAATAGTGCACTGGATTGTGTAGTGCTTGATGCACAGGTGTTGTGACAGAACCACAATCATGACTCCGATAAAATACCTGCTTAAAGTATCACAATACCAACAAGCGCTACTGCAGAAAAGTAATAATTAACCTAATAAATTAGGAAATGCAAGGGAATACGGCATGACAGAACAGGGAAATAAATATCCTGTTCTTTAATATTATTTTACGGTTTAGACGGTTGCTTTTCAAAAAGGTTAAATCCTTGTGAAAAAGAGTACAAGCTGTGCTGTGCGCTTAGTTGTCGAGTTAACAATAAGCCCACTTACACAACAGCCACGCAGCTCTTCTGCCCTACAACAGAATGTGCACAGCACACGCCGGCCTCTGGCACTCTGCCTCTTCCTTGCTGCCGTCCTGGTGTCCCAAAACCGGAGAGACGATGTCCTGCTTTCATCCCGGTTGTCACGGACGACGGGGGATTCATTTTGCCCAAATGGGATCCGTTCTGGTCCACAGGCGGAGGTGACGCTTGCTGCGTCATTTGTAACGGAGAACTTTTTTGTGTCATCTCGTCGTCAAAAGCACAACAGACAGTGTGGAGGAAAATGGAAAAGGAGAGACGCGTCCCACAAACCCTGTTCTGCATTTTTATGTACAGTCGTTCTGAATCTGAATTTGACAAATATCAAACTAAATCAGATCGTCGTGGAATGTGCCAGTTCTACAATATCCGCGGTGCAAAAGAGACTCTAGAGTTACTACAGCCGACTGCACATCTACATCAAACCGAGCCTCCAATCGTCGGGATGTGAGATGGAGGAGGCATCGTGGGCCCTGCCTCATTACGCCCATTGGCGAACTAAGTAGTCTGCTACATCGTTCATGTGGTCCGACATCCGCCGTGCTCCCTTCATTTCCTTCCGCCCATCTGTAGCCTCCATCCATTAGCACGGGGCCGCCCGAGTCATTAACGGTGGCCGCCTGCCTCATTCGGGCGATAGCGAGGAGCAGCCTCGTTCCCTCTTCGGTGTCTTCGGTCTCTTCTCACATTTAGTTATTCTGCCCCTCAAGTGCAAGGCCTTCACGGAGCCCCCCCCCCCAAAAAAGAGGAGACACAAATCCTGACAGGCACCTGCACACAAAGCCGTATACGAACGTCACGCGAGAGCTCGGAGTGTGCAAAGGGTTTGAGATCTCGAGTGGGATCAGCGTGTGATAATCTGTCACGGATCGGGCGGTGATGCCTGTGAGCGCCGTGTACCTGTGAACGCACTCGTCAGCCTTCATCACTGCCAGCACGCGCTGCCTTCCTGTCTCTCCATCTTTGTCGTCTTATTCACGGTTGCACTTTTGTCCGACAGTCATTTTCCCGAGTGCTGTCCTTCACACGTCATGTTTGAATATTTCCATGATGTACTTAGAAAGGTGATTTACTAAATGTGGTCAATTCAGCATATGTAGAATGATCAGTTTTGCAGTCAAAGCTGTATAAAGAATCCTTTCGGATTCATATTACGCAGTGGCAATGTTGATGTCATAGATGTGTCTTGAAGCCTTGTATCATCTTTTTCTGTGCTCACAAGACGGGTGTAATGCTGAAAACTATTTGAAACCTGCCAGTCAAGAAGTCAACGCATAAAATGACGCTGATAATCAGACAAGCGTGGATGATTTGCTTCCTGTATTATGCCCACAATTTAATGCACAGCTAACTGAGTCAAACGCAGCTTCCCAGAAATACGGACACTTTTACAACTTTAGGAAGTAGACAAAGACTTAATTGAACTTAATTGGATTGACTGGCGCAGAAAACCTCCCACAGAGGGAGGGGCAGCTGCAGCTCCTCATTTACTTCTCATTCTCTTCTCCTCCTCAGTCTCCGTATTTATCAGCTATTGTGTGTTGACAGTTAAAAAAGGGAGCAGATTCGTTCGTAGCAGATTACCCAGAGGAGAAAGTGTCCTGCGCCTCGGCTTATCGTCCCCACCGGCACACCAGACGGCCGCGGACAGGGAGAGAACATCCCCCGCAAATAGCCCGAGACGTCACCGCTACCCCCATTAGAGGAGCAGTGCGGCTGAGGTGTTGCCCGCCGCTCGTGTTCCTTCGACTATAGTTGGATTTAAAGTGCATCGTTTATCGGACATCGGAGCGCGACATACTTGTGCTTACCGAGAAAGGAGATATGTTTGAAGATAACATCTGAAATACCTTTTTTTCTGTGTTGGCTCGGGGAAACACCACCAGACCACTCAATGAGTTTCCTTAATGTCAGCACATAAGGTGGAACAAAGGGGGTTCAGGCCACCGGCTGTTTGATGCAGCATCCCTGATCCAGGAACAGCTGGTATGTCCTTTCACATCTGTCCCTCCTTCCCTTTGCTGTCAGCTCTCTAGTGTTGACTCTACTAAAAATAATGAATCAAAAGTGGAAACAATACTCTGAGGACAACACATTTTCTTCCTTACGCTCATCGTTTCATTTAAATCAAATCAAAGTTATTCTGACCATGACGATAGTAAGAATTGTATATGGTGCATTTAGATTTCATTTGGATAATCTGAATTAGGTGTATTTTCAAAATAACAGTTAAAATTGTATGCAAATCACTCCCATTTTAGGAAGGTATCACTTCTCTAGAGAGGAAATCCAGTTGCTTATTGCTTGAAAATTTGGGCTGTCGACATTAATGCATTAATCTATGCGATTAATAGATAAAATACAGTATTAACGTTGTGTTAACTTTCGTTTGTTTACTTCCAAAAACCTGAAGTTGACCGCGGAAATGAAACTGCCGAGATGGGGAGAGCAAACAGTGGTGCGACATACAGAACTATGCAGAGGAATTACTCCACGTGTCAAACAGTAGGGGGGTGAGTGGAAAACAGAGCACTTAAACCATTGCTATGTTAAGCCGGCTGCTAGGCTAATGCTAGCTGCTATACTACTTACATCTCAACATCTATCGCTGCGAGGCACACCGTCTGCAGAGGACCACCACTGTGTCCCTAAAAGACCGTGGTTTGAAAACGTCCTGGATAAATGTGGGGAGATCGTTGGCACTCCAAACACAACATTCATTATAAACAACATTGTAACAACAACCTTCATTAATCTCAATCTTAATTTCCAAATGTGCGATTAATTAGTTAATTTTTTTTAATCTATTGACAGCCCTACTGAAAATATTTGGATGTCTGGCTAGAGAGGGACGTTACATCACCATGGAAGCCTTTAGTTACAGCATAATACTAACAGATTAAGACCACACAGTATAACGAATTGGTGGAAAATGCATTATGAAAAGCCCGTTGACGGATTTCAGCAACTTTTGCTTGCTCCAGTAATGGCGTATTACTTAGAACACCTGTCACGTGTTAGCTGTACATCTGGATGTTTTATCTGTGTGACCTGTTTGCAGAAAATCCATTTGTGTGAAAAATTACATAATAAAAACACACAAAAAAATAATTAGACAGAATGGAAAAAATGTGTGGTTGATGCAGCACGATGAAGCCTGTCAGGGTTCCGACCAACCAATGAGCGAGCAAATATTCCAGCCTCAGTCAGGAGAGTCAGATTAACGTAATCCAGACAAAGACCGCAGCCCATTAGTTCAATGAATAATCCCCCGTTAATAAGGTAGAACAGCAGCTTTGCATGTGAGTTATGTAAGAAGGACTTTTTATTTCTCCATTGTCTATTACAGTTCTTCTCACAGTTTTTGTAATTTTTTTTCACCCAACGCACATTGTTGTGGTACTGGGGTTGAAAACGAAAGCCGACAGCTGCTATTTTGTGTTTTATTGTTTGATGTGAAGCTCTCTTATCACTGAGAGAGTTATGGTCACTGTGCTGCACAAACAGTAGCCTATTAGTAAGCTGTTAACGGTGGTATTGCAAATCAACGCATGTAGACACACCTGTAAAATGACATCATACAATACAAAATAAAAAAGCAGCCATACATTAAGCATGTCTCAACCTTTTAGCACCACGTATCTTGTCACTATTATACT